TTTTTATATGAATGATCGATGAGTGTTCGAATTGTATGGAAACGTTTTTATTCCATTCTCGTGACTAACTTGCCATACACGGTACTGTCTCTTTGCTTTGCTATACAGATCATTCCGAACGGCGTTTACCACGAATCTGCCACCTTTCTTGCTTTCCCTATTCTATGATGCAAGAAGATAGGTGAGTAATCATGGGCTCATACTTTTCAGGATACCAATTCCGACTCACCAATGGGCTACATCCTCACGAGTACACATTCCGACGGATAATCAATCCTCATATGCTTGATAGTTCAAGTGAAGACTAATTTGCTTAGAAGCAGGAGAGACTTTTCGACTGCTGTTGCGGTTTGGATGATTGCTTATCTTTGGAAGTTTTCTCAGTTATTTCAACTTTCTTCATCGTACTTATCTTGAAAACTGTAGTATTTGGGACTGCTGACTCATCCACAAAACCGGTACTTCTTCGATGGTCTTGTGGTGAGTGTAATTTGTGTGATATTACAGAACAAACGCATACATGCAATATTTCACATTGAATGAAAACAAATGTATAGTGCGAACAAGTTATTTAACTCTTCCAGTGCGCCTATCTACTCTTACCAAATGTGCACAGCCACATTCACTATGCTAACATATTTACATAGACTGATTTCGTGCAAGGACAAGCACCATATGAGAAATTTCGACATACTCATAGCAATTTCAATTCAGTACTCAGAAATTTTGATTTGATCACTGGATTGCGCACTCAAGAATGGTTTATTCATCGCTAACTTCAGCCCTCACGATAACTTGTTTTTTTTCGGTCGAACTCAGTTTGTGAATCGTACATTATATCACAAGGTACAATTTAGTTTCGTTAATTGCTTCATTCTAGTTGAGTGGTTCTGAACCTTTCTTCCTCTTTGTACTGCTAGAAAATTATGAGATGCCCTCCTACCCCCTANCCCTAAAATATCCTCGCAGCCCTTTCCCGGTTGAGAAACCTTATCCTAGTTGCCTGTATTTGAACAAAGGGATTATGTTTCCATTGGGACACAAACGATGTGGTCACCGTGACATAAACGAAAAGATTGCTTATTTTATACTTTGTTTACGTAAATCCATCAGCAAATGTGCAAAGTACACTATTAATTTTAATTACTGTGAACTTTTATTCATTATATTATAAATATAAGCGGAGGTGTTACACACCGACAAAGTCGATCGATCAATATTTGATCTACAAGGTGGGACGATTATAACTGATTGCGGAATGCTGGATCATATTCACTGCATTCGTCCTTATCGGGCGCTCTTCTCAAATTTGTTTCATCAACTTTTTTGCGGAATCACCTGAAGTATCAGTTAATCATTATCAGGTAGCATTACGAATGCAAGCATTTCCACAATAAGGTTCTATGAGACAAGCATAGGGAGTATGGTATCTGCAGAACATTCAGTTTTCTCTAAAAGATAATCCAAACCGTTGGGTAGAAATTCATGTTCTCTTTGAATTTGCTTTCATTTTTCACCATTTAGGAGGTTTCCGAATTCTCATTACACCACATTTTGAAATTTATTCGATATTGTCAGTTCTTAACTAGCTGAGTTCAGAACGGCATTCATTAATTGAGAAATTCCCAAAATAGAAGAAACCAACTCTTCATCATTTCGCCAATGCAAGGAAATGCAGTGACAAGTGCGTTTTGATCATCTTTCGAAAGTTTCGAATAATCTTTGATGATTCCTCTGATTGATTTGAAAATTCCGTCAACTGATGACTCGGAAGCGAACGACGATACACGTTCAATAGTCTGAATAATCAAATGTAGAGTAAGAACAAGTTCAGGCGAACTGATATATAAATACAGCTTATTCGTTTCATCTCGTTATAACTTTAATTTTCACTATGAATCAGGTGATCGATTTCAAATTCACTTCCAACAATCTACATTTAATTGGTCAATTATTTGACTAAACACCAAATGGAAGAAATGAATTCAGTTTGCAATGTATCCCATAGGAAACTTGAAGCATTTATCGAACCTTGAGCATGTATTGTCGAGCTTGTTCTGGAAGAGCATTGATTTTCGAGTAGATGGTTTCGTTGACCAGTCGAAGTTTTTCGGCTAATTTCGCATCTTTTTTGGACACCTAAAAAGGATCACAAGTGAGCAGTGGGATCGTTCATCGAAAATGGTACTGACTGAATCACAGTGCGATACGATACCTTGTCAATGAAGTCTTTTTCATTTTTTACGCTCCCATAGTCAATTGAATCAAACACTTCAACCTCTTGAGTTGTCATCTGAAGGAAGAATTGTAAAAACTCACTTCAGATTTATTTCTAAAAATGACACTGAAACAATGAATATGCAAGTATGGACTGATGTTGGATGATTCTAAACGTGCATTGATTTATTTGCGACTGAAAGCTGTCAAAAAATACTTATCACATCTCGAACAATCGAGTAATTTCGCTTTCTCACATGGGTGAAAATTGTTT